GAGGGAGTCATGGCCGGGTGCCTTCCAGTTCTTGAGGCCTTTCGTTGCCCGTGCCACCTCCTCAAGTTCTGGCACCTCTCCCAACCGTTGAGGGTCACGTGTCGCTGGCCGCTGCGTCACTCGTTCGATGATGTCTGGGTCAGGTTCAGGGTGGGGGATTTGGTGTTGAATAGGGTGCTGAAGAATCTCGCCCACTGCTGGAGGATGTCGTCCTTGTTCCGGAGCAACACGCCGTTCTCATCCGCGACGAACTGCTGTCCCCCCGCTTGTCTCACGGTGAGGCCCACTGATCTCTTGAGATGTTGGTACAGTCCTAGCATGTCGCAATCTTTGTAGATTGCTTCGAGTTCAGTCATATATCCGTCCAGGTGGGCAGAAATGCCCGACTGCTGTAGCCACTCCCTTACACGCTGCTTTGAGAACCCTCCACGTTGCTGAGTTCCAGTTGCCCCTCATCGTCCGGCGCGCTCCCCGCCGTTTGGTAAGGGCCTGCTCCAGCGCTGCTCTCGTCTCTGGGGTCTCACACCACTCCTGCGTGCGGCGTCTCCGCGGTTCCTCCCCCAGGGTCGTCCGCGCTGCTTCGAGGAGAGCATTGGTGAAGTCGGTCGCCAATTCCGCGGCTTCGCTCGTCCAGCCGTGTGTCGAGGTTGAGGAGGAAGCGATTTGTCACCGCACACCGTGCTGCTTCGAACTGCACTTCCCGTCGGTTGAATTGCTTCTGTTTCGGTTTAGTCCGGACTGCACGGTTGTGGGCAAGCCTGCCACCGAGGTTGACGGTGGCTACTACCATATTGTGGTCTGAGTCTGCTTTGACTGGGCGAACCGGCTGGGGGATGACGACCACGTTAGATACTCGGCCGTGATGTGCCTGCCTTGTCAGGATGTAGTCAAGGCGTTTGCAATCGTTTCCCGACACACCGTTGTATGTGTGCCATATTCCGCCCTTGCGTGTCTCGAAGAACGTGTTCGTGAGAGCTAGCCTGTTTTCCTTTGCGAAATTCAACTGTAGCATGCATTGTCGTTGAACTCATCACGCCCGTACATTCCTATTAAGATCCGTCCCCTCCGTCTACCCTATCTCCCGTCCGCGCGTTGGCGTCCATTAGGACATTCACACATTCTTTGGAAGGGATCCTCCGCACGAGACTGTCAAGTTTTCCCCAGAACACGCGCTTGCTGTCGGCGGTTGAAGGTTCGGTTGGAGCATACGCGGCTACGAAGTTGACCGCTCCACGGTGACCTGCCAACAGAAACCTCATGGCCATAATGCGTTCGTCGATAAACTCCGTAGTGAACGTGGATGTCTTGCACAGTGACTCTTTGACGGCTATCCCCACACCATGGACACCACCAGTCTCCGTGCCACAGCAGAACACCCGGAAACCCGCTGCTGCAAATTGCGTTCGACCTGCCCTCCGTGTCTCCTGCGTTCCTACCACCGATACGTCTTGTCTCGCTGCCTCGTGTAGAACGCTGTAGGCTCGCCGTATCCATTGGCCCCGTTTACGGCCAAAGTCCGCACATCCCAGGTTGCTACCCTAAGAAGTTGACCCTGCTGTCTCTTACCTAGCCTACGCGCCGCCCGACCCCTCCTTTTTTTGCTTTCTTGCTGTTTTCTTGCGAACACTCGGGCTGACATGATAGTTACCCCGGTTCTTGCGTTGTTTCCCATAGACCAGTCTTCTTGTCCCGGAGCGGTGTGGCCCTCCATCTCTGGACTCTCTCCTTTCCTCTCTCTGGGGCATACCCCCACGGCGTGCGGCCACTCCACCACCCTCACCGTGCTCTCTGCTGCTGCATAGCCCCGGTGTCCAAGCCGGGGCGTCAGGATCCAGTCTCATTTTGCAGCTACCAAAGCTGGCGGCTCAGGAGCTACCCCGATCTCACGACAGCAGTAACTCCCAACCGCCAAACTCAGGATCCCCCTCTAAACAGTGCTAGGGACCGTATATCCGTCGTTGCTGGGTGGTCTTTCGAGGTCTAGATCCACTTGCGGAACCTCGGCCTTCCCCAGGGACGGGGGGGGCAGGCCGGAGAGAGCAGCTTGCTGGCGCAACCGACCGAACCTGTGCTTGACATAAATGAGTCCCCCCCTCCTGCCCCCCCCCCGGTGTTTGCCATCGGGGTTGGGTTTTCGTCGCTTGGCAACGACGTTGTAAAACAAGCCACCCCTCCCGGTGTTTGCCATCGGGGTTGGGTTTTCGTCGCTTGGCAACGACGTTGTAAAACAAGCCGCCCCCCCCGGTGTTTGCCATCGGGATTGGGTTTTCGTCGCTTGGCAACGACGTTGTAAAACAAGCCAATTCACTTCGTGAACTCGGCAACCAGGTTACCGTTTTTTTTTTTTTCCTCCGTTTTTTTTTTTTGGCGGTAACCATAATGGTGGTCGAGTAGATCATGTTGTGCGGGGTGGAGAACCCTCACTCCGCGCAAGGGGGATGATCGCACCACGTTGTGTTAAAATGGTCAAGCACCCTCGAGGCAGTTACACAGTGCTTACAACTGTCTCTGGAAGTGAAAGCACCAGAAAATAAATTAATTCATACGCAGCTGTCATCCGTACGCAAGGAAGTAAGCACAAGATGCCGAACACCCTTAGCAGGATGCAGCGCACCCTTCATGCGACTCGCCGAATATCTCACGGCGCTTCGCGCTTGGTGATGTGAGAGCCTGGTCCGGTGAGAACCCGGCGTGCTCCGTCCCGGCTTTGTAGGGATGCGAGGTCAATGGTCTAACGACTACGGCATGCACGACTATGAGTACACCCCCCCCCCTCCTGCTCCTCCAGCGAGAAAAGACGTACGAGTCTCATCGCTTCGAATGCCCTCCTTCAACCCTCCAGTGTTCACCGTCACACCTCGCAGTTGACCACCACCCACCCCGTCGTGAAAGGTATGTTGGCGATGACCCTTGCGAGTCTGGACATTCACAAATGACTTTGTGACCTCCCTGTCCTTCCGTCCCCCCCCCCCCCCCCCCC